ACAAAAATGTCATAAAAGTTGTCATCTTAAAAATAAAACCCTCACCGGGTGTGGTGGCTCACACCTGTAATCCCAGCACTTTGGGAGGCTGAGGCAGGTGGATCACCTGAGGTCAGGTGTTCAAGACCAGCCTGGCCAACATGGAGAAACCCTGTCTCTACTAAAAATACAAAATTAGCTGAGTGTAATGGCACATGCCTGTAATCCCAGCTACTAGGGAGGCTGAGAAAGGAGAATCACTTGAACCCGGGAGGCAGAGGTTGCGGTAAGGCAAGATCATGCCATTGCACTCCTGCCTGAGTAACGAGAGTAAAACTCCGTCTCAAAAATAAACAAATAAATAAAATAAATATAACCCTCCTAATTCCACATTCCCCTCCAAATGTGGTCCCATTTCTCTGCACATAATAAAAAATGCCTTGAAAAATTGTCTCTATTTGCTGTCTAGACTTCCTTCCCTCCCATATTCTCTTCACTCCAATCCCATCAGCCTTTCACTTTCAATACTCCATGGAATCCCCTTTTGATAAAACGACGAGTAACCTCCACACTGTCAAGTCCAGAAGACAATTCTGTCATCTTACCTCTTTTCATACTTCTTCACTCTTCTTCACTTGGCTTTGAACAGAATATAACACTGGCCACTCTTTCTTCATCTATTTTACTTCACCTGCCTTCTCTTCTGTACCACTAAACTTTGGTGTGCTCAGGACTCTAATCTTTCTCTGTTCTACCTACAGTCATGGCCTAAGCTATCTCAGTCAGAGCCAGAGTTTTTAATACTATCTATTCATTGATGACTCCTGAACTTCGTATCACATATCCAACTGTCCCCTTCACATCCCTGAATGTTTGACACATCCAGACCAGAATTCTTCATTTCCTCCTTTGAAATTTGCTCCTCTCCTAGTATTTCCCACTCTGCAACTCACTCAACTCACAACTCTACAACTCAACCAAGTGCTCAGGTCAAAAATCATAGTGCTCTAATTAACTCCTCTCTCGCATCCTACAGTACTGAGCAAATTCTGTTCATTCTACCACCAAACAGTATATCTTACCCAACCACTTTTTACCATCTCCACTGAGGGTCCAAGCCATCACCATCTCTCATCTGAGCTATTGCAATAACTTCCCAAGTGGCCTCTCAGACTCATGTCTTTTTCTCCTCTCAACAGCCAGAGTAATCCCATAAAAATACAAATTTTTGGTATCTACTCACATGCTCAAAATTTTACTATGGCCTTAAATCACCAGAAGAGTAGAAAAGGGCTTTACCATGGGCTACAGGCTCCACATGTCACTGTGTAACTCTCAGACCCCATATAGAGCCAACACTGCTCCTCAGTTACAATGCTCCCCTTCTTCACTGATCTTTCAGTTCTTAAAAAGCACTAGCCCGGAAGAATGCAGTGGCTCACAGCTGTAATCCCATGTTGGGAGGCTGAAGCGCTTGGATCATGAAGTCAGGAGTTCAAGACCAGCCTGACCAAGATGGTGAAACCCCCATCTCTAAAAATACAAAAATTAGCTGGGCATGGTGGCAGGCGCCTGTAATCCCAGCTACTGAGGAAGCTGAGGCAAAAGAATCGCTTTAACTGGGGAGGCAGAGGTTGCAGTGAGCACAGGGTGTGCCACTGCACTCCAGCCTGGACAAAAAAGCAAGCCTCTGTCTCAAGACAAAAAAAAACAAAACAAACAAAAAAAAGCACTAGCCCATACTGCCATCTCCAGAAATGTCTCCTTAAACTACCCTATCCAGAGTAGCCACCCTCATCCCCAAGTCACTATCACCCATCCAGCTATATTTTCTCCATAACTTTACAGCATTTTTAAAATTATTTAATTTACACCTGTCTGCCTAATCTGTCCTCTCATACTTAGAAAATAAACTCTATCAGAACAGAAACTTTTACCCTATTAATTTAACCGCCATATTCCCGGTACCTACAACAGCATCTGGCACATAGAAAGCATATTTTTAAATCTTACTGAGTGAACCAATATCCCAGAAACCTCTCATAGCTAGTTCATCTTACAGGAGAAACTGAGTATAAGAGTTAATTAAATGGCGGAGCACGGTGGCTTACGCCTGTAATCCCAGCACTTTGGGAGGCCAAGGCGAGTGAATCACTTGAGGTCAAGAGTTCGAGACCAGCCTGGCTACTATGGCGAAACTCCGTCTCTACTGAAAATACAAAAATTAGTGGGTGGTGAACACCTGTAATCCCAGCTACTCAGGAGGCTGAGGTGGGACAATCGCTTGAACCCGGGAGGCAGAAGTTGAAGTGAGCCGAGATCGCACCACTGCACTCCAGCCTGGGTGACAGAGTGAGACCCTTTCTCAAAAAAAAGGGAATTAAATGACTCGCCCAAGGTCGCACACCAGTTAAAATAAATGGCAGCTTTAAAGTTAGAGGCACAGTCTGGCTCCAAAGCTTAGGGTTTTAGTTACTACACCACACTGCTTCACTACATTTTACAATTTACTATGTTGCTTGTGAGTATGAATTAAAGCTCAGAAGTTTAAATTTCCATCCTACTCAGAGGACTCCCGCCCCACTCCATTCCACTCCACAAAGCTTCAGCTCAGCGACCTCTCTTTCCTCAAACCTAGTTCCGACTAACAGATCCCGGCGCCCAGCGCCCAGCACCCTACGCGCCTTGGCTTTGGCAAGGGCGCCTGCGTGGTGAGTGGGTCCCATGCAAAGCATTCTGGGATTGGTAGTCCACGTTCCTCCGGTCTCCAGCATTCACATGAAGAAGACGGGAAAACCCATGTAAATTAGATATCTCTTAATTTCGTACAAATTAAATAAAACGCAGATTCTGGCTCAGGAAAGTGATGCTAACACGTCGTTTTCAAAGGAACGACTCCAGCCTCGGGTCAGGCGCAGCGCAGACCGCGGCTTGGGGTCCTTGGCTGGGCGGGGCTTGCTCGCGGTGGCTTGTGGCTCCTTCCTGCACCGCTTCTCTCTTTCGCTCAGGCCCGTGACGCCGGCAGGATGGGTGAGCTGTCGGGGCCCGTCTGAGGGCGCCGCAAGCGGGACTTGGGGTCTTGGAAACAGGTAGCCGGATGCGAATAGAGTAGGGAGCGGGATGCCACAGAGAGGCTCCATGGGGGAGGGCCGGGGAAGCGCCGCTTCAGGAGGCACATGGTCGGACGCGGAAAGGGCCTATGCCGCGCGTATGCCGCCCAGGTCGGGGTACAGAGGGACGCAGGGAGACCGGCGCTTCCCCCGAGCACTCGAGCGCGGCCTCGTCCTTTAGGAGAACACACCCTCCAGAGATCTCTTCGAACGTTCATTAGCCGGTTCAGGGGAAGGCCAATTGTTTGGCCCACGAGTTAATATACGAGAGTCAGTCGGTTTACGGGTTTATCCCAGGTGAGGCGAGTGTTTAAAAAGACATGGAACACGTAGATGGCGTGTTTTTGAGGAAGAACTAAAATATTTTAATTTTTAGGTAAGTGTCGTGGACTTCGTACTGCTAGGAAGCTCCGTAGCCACCGACGAGACCAGAAGTGGCATGATAAACAGTACAAGAAAGCCCATTTGGGCACAGCCCTGAAGGCCAACCCTTTTGGAGGTGCTTCTCATGCAAAAGGAATCGTGCTAGAAAAAGTGTAAGTGAAAGTCCATTGCTCCCGTCAAGGGTTAGTTTATTATAGGAACTCGAGACACAAACTTAACTGTTTTTAAAGTAATTACTGGATTTTGTGTAGTGGTGTTCACTTGGGCATTGCGGGGTAAAATTAGCGCTTGGGAATTAGGTAATTAGGGTTGTTTTTTTTAAGTTGGCCTGGTAGGAATTGCAGAAGATACTAGCAATGATGAAGTAAAGGACACGCTTCTACTGTGGGAGATGTTATAAGTAAATGGCACGTGTCAGCCATTGTATCTGCAATGAAATGATTTTTCTGCTTGATAAAGATAAGGTGAAGAGAAGTGACTTACATCAGACTTGACTGGAGGTCGTACACCTAAGGCGGAGACATGAAGTTGCCAATATTTGACTGGTTTTGACTTTTAAAAATGATAATTTCATATAGTTCAGTTCTATTTCATGGTAGAGCCATCTTTTTGTCTAATTTTTTTTTTTTTTTTTTGAGAGGGAGTCTATCTCTGTCGCCTAGGCTGGAGTGCGGTGGCGCAATCTCAGCTCCCTGCATCCTCAGCCTCTCAGTTGGGAATACAGACGCCCACCACCATGCCAGCTAATATTTTGTGTTTTTAGTAGAGATGAGGTTTTGCCGTGTTGACCAGGCTGGTCTCAAACTCTTGACCTAAGGTGATCTGCCCGCCTCGACCTCCCAGAGTTCTGGGATTACAGGTATGAGCCACTGTGCCCAGCCTAGACTTTCTAATTATTATAGTTCTTATCGCAGATACCTCCTTCTTTTTTTTTTTTTTTTAAATGAGATAAAAAAAAATCCACCCAGGCTGGCAGCCTTGACCTTCTAGGCATAGATCCTCCCACCTTGGCCTGGCAAGTAGATGGGACTACAGACCCACACTGCTACTCTGGTCTAATTTTACAACTGTAAAGGGTCTAGAAATTTCCCCCATTGTGCTAATGAAATTAAGACTGACAGAAAACTTGGTTGACATCACAGGACTTAAGCCATTTGAGGTTAGATTAAAAAGATAGAAACGGTTTCTTATTAATCCTCTAGTTTATGTGAAAAAATTATCCTTTTTCAGAAAGCCAGCTCACTCTGCTATGCCTTTTATGTTTCAGAGGAGTTGAAGCCAAGCAGCCAAATTCTGCCATTAGGAAGTGTGTCAGGGTCCAGCTGATCAAGAATGGCAAGAAAATCACAGCCTTTGTACCCAATGATGGTTGCTTGAACTTTATTGAGGTGAGCATTTCAACTCTCTTGTAGCTTCTGTTCTTGGGGTGGCCTCTCACACATTTTTATCTGACCCAAGGGAGTTACCTGAATAAGAGTATTTTTGTGATTGCCACTGACACCATAAATACATTTTTTATTTTATTCCAGGAAAACGATGAAGTTCTGGTAGCTGGATTTGGTCGCAAAGGTCATGCTGTTGGTGATATTCCTGGAGTTCGCTTTAAGGTTGTCAAAGTAGCCAATGTCTCTCTTTTGGCGCTATACAAAGGCAAGAAGGAAAGACCAAGATCATAAATTTTAATGGTGAAAACACTGTAGTAATAAATTTTCATATGCCAAAAAATGTATCTTATTGTTCCCTGTTCTCACCACAAAGATTGTGTTCTTTACCTGCTTTTTTTTTTTTTTTTTTTGAATCGTAAGCCAGCAAACACAGGACCTTTAGCAATTTCAGGTGATGATAAGACAGTTGTTTTAGGATTCTCTAGGTTTATACCCTGGCACAATTACCCTCATCCTGTGGAATAAGAAAATGAGATAGATCTAGAGTAAATGTGTGGTGTTGTATTTAAGAACTTTAATGGAACTTCAAAAAATTCACAGAAATTCTAGTGAGATAATTTATTTTTTATTCTTGGTATTTTCTGTATCTAGTGTGACTCTTCAAGCAGTTGCCAGGTTTCATTCCCATAGATAATCCTAGGTGCCCTTGGAAATGCATATTCTCGTATCCATCTTTTAGGGACCCAAGATGATAAATAGTAACCTCAAAATTGCTCCCCACTCTATTGAATTACTTAAAGATGTCAGGATCGGCTGGGCACAGTGGCTCACACCTATAATCCCAGCACTTTGGGAGGCCAAGACGGGTGAATCACAGAGTCGAGATCGAGACCATCCTGGTAAACATGGTGAAACCCCATCTCTACTAAAAATACAAAAAAATGAGCTGGGCATGGTGGCACACTCCTGTAGTCCCAGCTACTCAAGAGGCTGAGGCAGGAGAATTGCGTGAACCCAGGAGGCAGAGGTTGCAGTGAGCCGAGTACCATTGCACTCCAGCCTGGGTAACAAGAGTGAAACTTCATCTCAAAAAGTCAGGATCTATGTTGTGATGTGTCTACTGTGTTTGAAATAGGATACAGGCATTGAATCATTTAGTTGGTGGAAGTATATGCCAGGCAACAGATAGCAGATACGTATCAGTATTTTCTCATGAATCTGTCAGCAACCTCCATGTCTTCAAAGACCAGTCAGCAATGGATGTGGTTTACTGTAGAGATAATATTGGTTCTTTTTAATTAAGCTAGGTGCTGAGTACATGCAGGGTTTGCCCTTCACAAATACTTGTTTCAGAATTTTCACGGATACAGTGACATGGTTGAAATGAAGCTATTGACCTTCTGATTTAAATCTGATCTAAGAAACTACTGTTAATAGTAAATACAGGTTAATCAGCCTCGATCAAATCCTAAGGATCATATGAGGTCAGGAGTTAGAGACCAGCTTTACACTGTCTAGGAGCTTTGGAAACAATTGCTTTGGTTGCCCATTTCCCATTGGATCAGGAGCAGAACCTTTGCCATGGCACAGAAGAACCCAGGTTATGCCTCGTCCCTGCATATTCCAGCCTTACCCTGCCATTTTTCTCTTGCAGTCTCTGCTCTAGCAACACTGGTCTCAGTTGCTCACGCTGAAACTTGTGTTCAACACCCAGCCTCAGGACTCTGTTCCTGTTATTAGGGTACCTTGCATGTCATTTGCTCTTACTTCAGAGCTTGTTTTCCAGCACACATGTGCTTATTTCTTTGATGGTCACAGTCTCTGTCCACAAGGGTGGAAAGGCTGCCTGTTGGTTTGCACCGGCATTTCCTAAGGTGTAGCTGCGGTCAGTATTGTGCTTTCTGATGGGCCTTAGCTGACCGAAGCCTTAGTGACGGGGGAGAGATTGCTGGGCCTTGCTCACCGGGTCAGAACCAGGGATGGAGACTACCGTTGCAGCATGGTTCCAGGCCCCAGGCCCCAGGCGTCAGGCGCGAGGCAGTCAGCTCTTGCCAGGCAATGCGGTTCTTGTGACCGCAGGGAGGGTGCACCAGGCAGGGGCTGGGACAGCACGGGTTCCCAGGGACCTGTCCCGGTTCCCCTGCTTTCGCGACTCATCGAGACACCTTCGACAATGCCTTGCAGCTGTAGCTTCTTGGCTGCACCCGGGATGCCCTTTTCACTTGTGGAACCATCCTGCCAGAGGCCCATGGGCTGCCAAATTGACCCAAAAATACACCTCCAGCACCTCAGATACAAAAGCAGCTGAGCCTGGTCTTAGTGCCTTCTGCTTTCGCTGTGTGGCCTACCCATTCCTCACTGCCTTATGGCTGAGGCCCCCTTCCTTCATGTATCCAACATGACATGGATGCCAGGCCTGACTGCAAGCCCAGGTCTATGGTAAGAGGAACAATACACTCACCTTGGGCACAAAATGTATGCAAAATTCTAGCAGTGGTTTTTTTCTTGGTAGATGTTGAAAAGCTAAGCCTGTAATTCCAGCACTTTGGGAGGCTGAGGCGGGCGGATCACCTGAGGTTAGGAGGTCAGGAGTTCGAGACCAGGCTGAAATGGAGAAACCCCTTCTCTACTAAAAATATAAAATTAGCCAAGTGTGGTGGCATATACCTGTAATCCCAGCTACTCAGGAGGCTGGGGCAGGAGAATCGCTTGAACCCAAGGGGTGGAGGTTGTGGCGAGCCTAGATCGCGCCATTCCACTCCAGTCTGGGCAACAAGAGCAAGGCTCCATCTCAAAAAAATAATTATAATAAATAAAAAGCTAATTCTAAAATGTATTTAGAGGCCAGGCTCGGTGGCTTAAGCTTGTAATCCCAGCACTTTGGAAGGTTGAGGTGGGCAGATCATCTGAGGTCAGGAGTTCGAGACCAGCCTGACCGACATGGAGAAACCCCATCTATACTAAAAAAAATACAAAAATTACCTGGATGTGGTGCTGGGCACCTGTAATCCCGGTTTCTTGGGAGGCCTAGGCTGGAGGATCGCTTGAACCTGGGAGGTGGAGGTGGCAGGGAGCCAAGATCTCACCACTACACTCCAGCCTGGGCAACAGAGTGAAACTCCATCTCAAAAAAATAATAAAAATTAAGAAAAAATTATATAGAAAGGCAATTAGAATAAATAAAACAATATTTAAAAAGAAAAGTGGAAAAATCATAAAACTTGATTTTAAGACTATAGCTACAGTAATCAAGACTTGCTGGAGGAGCCATCCTGCCACCACGTTTCTCTGGAGGAGAGACAGAAATACCAACGAAATAAGATAGAGAATCTATAAATAGACATTCATAAGTATGACCAATGGATTTATCTTAAAACCAATGGAGGAAGAATAGTTTCGATAAATGATGTGGACTTCCATTTGCCGAAAACAAAAACAAAAAAAGGAACCCAAAACTCACACGTATTATGAAATTTAAAATGGATCATATAACTAAATATAAAATGGAAAGCTATAAAATTTAAAACAGAATATCTTTACAACTTAGGCTTAGGTATAGTTTTTAGACATTACACTAGAAGCACATTTCATAAAAGAAAAAAATGGATAAATTGGTGGATTTCATCAAAATTTAAAAACTTTTTCTCTCTGAAAAGTCCTGTTAAGCTGGGCACTGTGGTTCATGCCTGTAATCCCAGCACTTTGGGAGAATGAGTTGGGAAGATGTTAATAGCTTGAGTCCAGGAGTTCAAGACCAGCCTGGGCAGCAAAGCCATACACCTATCTCTACAAAAAAAATAAAATTAGCCTGGCATGGTTGTGTACATCTGTAGTTTCAAGTACTTGAGTGGCTGAAGTGAGAGGATCAGAGGATCGCTTCAGCCCAAGAGTTTGAGGCTGCAGTGAGCTATGATCGTGCCATTGCAATCCAGCCTGAGCAACAGAGTGAGACCCTGACTTGGAAAAAAAAAAAAAGAATCCTGTTAAGGGGATAAGAAGGCAAACTACAGACTGGGAGAAAGTATTTGCAAGTCACATAGCCAATAAAGGACTTAGATCTAAAAGAGATGAAGAATTCTCTAAACAAAAGTGAAAAACAGATAATCCCATTAAAAAGTGGTCAAATATATGAATATACATCTCTTCACAAAGAAGATGGCAAACAAGCAGATGAAAAGATGATCAAATCATTAAACATCCAGGAAAATGCAAATTGAAACCACAACAAGTTGTCACTATAACCTGACTAAAGTTAAAGATGCTGGCCGGGCACAGTGGCTCACACCTGTAAACCCAGCACTTTGGGAGGCCGAGGTGGGCAGATCACGAGGTTAAGAGATCGAGACCATGTTGAAACCCCGCCTCAACTAAAAAAATACAAAAATTAGCTGGGCGTGGTGGTGCACATCTGTAGTCCCAGCTACTTGGGAGGCTGAGGCAGGAGAATCGCTTGAACCCAGGAGGAGGAGGTTGCAGTAAGCCAAGATCATGCCACTGCACTCCAGCCTGGTGTCTGGTGACACAGCGAGACTCTGTCTCAAAAAAAAAAAAAAAAAAAAAAAAGCTAAAGATGCTGATAATACCAAGTACTGGTGAGAATGTAGAGAGTAGAGTAACTGAATCTCATACATTGTTGACAGAAAAATGTTGCAGTCGCTCTTGAAAAGTTTGTCAGTTTTTTATAAAGTTAAACAGTTACTTCATATGACCCAGAAATTGTACTCCTGGGGAGAGGATTGAAATACAGCAATGAAAATATGTGTCCACACAAAAACCTGTATATAAATATTCATGGCAACTTTATTTGGACAGCCAAGAAATACAAACAACCTAAATATGGTTCAATGGGCAAATATATACACTGTGGTATACCCATAAATGACATACTACTTAGCCAGATTATTACATAAAACAACTTCTATGAGTCTCTAGGGTTGTATAATGGGTACAAAAGGCTGATCTCAAAATGTTGTATCTTGTATGGATTCATTTATATAACACTCTTGAAATGACAAAATTATAGCAATGGAGAAGAGACCAGTGATCACTAGGGATTAAAAATGGGGGCAGAGTCTGACAATAAAAGAAAGGTTAGTATGGGGGAGTTTCTTTGTAAGAATGAAGACACTTTGCGTCTTGATCTTGGTAATGTTTATGTAAATCAATACTTGCAATGGAATTTCATAGTAATATACACACAATAAAAGCATGTAAAAATTGGTGAATGAGTAAATTCTGTAGTTAATAGTTTTGTACTAATGTCAATTTCCCAGTTTTGAAAATATACTCTGGTTATAAAAGATATTATAATTTGGGAAAGCTGGATGAAGGATATAACAAACTATTCTATTTTTGCAACTTCTGTGTGCCTTATTTATAAATAAAAAGTAATGTATTCTTATATGTGTGTATATATAAATTTTATGAATGGGTAGTCTGTTATTTCATCAATACAGATTATCTTTATTTGCCTAGCAAAGTCCAAACAAATCAGAAATTGTTACAGCAAAAACAATCAGGATATCACTTAGTACTGCGGTTCCCAAACCCAGGGACATCAGAATTCCCCTGGGAAACCATCTTGAGGGTATCCAGGAAAAATCTGTCAGGTAGTTCTTATGTAGCCACCTCCTGTTTTCTGCATTTGTGGGAATTACTGCTTTCATCTTATAAGTCAGAAGCCCAAATAACGCAGCTTTTAAGTATTTTAGAAATAATTTGCCCAAGTAATCGGTGCAGCTCAAATCAGAACAATAGTCTATTCTCCATATGGAATTATTTCTGTCAGAGACACCCCATTGCAAAATGATAAACACTGCCTTACAGGTAGCTTCTTAGTAAATTCAGGCATAAACTTATTTGGGTATTTAGTAAGAGTGAAGGGAAGAGGAGAGGTATAATGTGATTAGTAAATTTTCTGTGTATTTAAATGAAAATATTGAAATACTCCAGTTACTGATGCTTTGAAAAAAAATTTGAAAGTCTAAAAACACAACACCTCAGATAAACGTGGGCTTTTTCCTGTTATTTTTTTATAGCACTGAGAGACGCGGTTCTAATTTGACAGCTACACAAATTCAAATGTATATCTGTATGTGTATTGGATTCCTGTATTTCATTCCAGGAAAATATCTAGTTGTAGGATTGGTCATAATGGTTACACTATGGATAATATTCCTGGAATCTGTTGGAAGATTGTCAAAGTAGCTAGTGTTTTTCTTTATTGGCTTTGCATAAAGCCAAGAAAAGAGACTAAGATAATGAATTACCATATGACAATAAAAATTTTCACTAACAGTAACTTATCTTTATTTTAACCTATAAAATCTATGTGAGTGGATCATTTAAGCATTAACTCACATTCTTATGCTACTGTAGCTGGGGCACTGTCTTCACTGGTTATACTGAGCAGTCTTCATTTCTAACACAAATCCTCTCCTTATTGTTTGGTAAAGTGATGTCATGTTTGTTAGTACCTGAGGAATAGAAGTGGATTTTATAGCTTATAAATTGTCACAGTAATGTCACCACAGCAGGTGTAGAGCAAACCATTAAAACATTTAACACATGTTTTAAAGCATGACTTGTCTCATAGGAGAAAATAGTTTTTTAGAGTGACACATTTGAAGGGAACCAGGAGTGACAAATAACCAATATTCTCAAAAATGCACATGCCCAGTTGCCACCTCATTCAGATGGTCACTAAAGCCTCCAATGTGTGGTTTATCTTCAAAAACAAGGGAGCCACTCACACACAGCTCTGATGTACGTGACGAGCAGCATCACAAATTCCTTCCTTTAATGCACTCTGCTTTCCAGCTGAACTGAAGCTTGCAAACAGCAATTCTGATGGTCAGGAGGGTTAAGAAGGAAGTCAAAGTCCCCAGGTCACTAATCAGAGCTAGCCACAGAAGTGCTGGCTCCCTCTACCAGTGATCTGCTTATTTGTGGTAATGAGTTATTGTTGGCATGAATTCTGTTCTCTAGTCACAGTGCGGGAGAAATTTTTAAATCTAGCCTTCTAAAATTCTTTTATTAAGTTGATTAGAAATAGAAGGTCAGGTGCAGTGGCTCACTCCTGTAATCTGGCACTTTGGGAGGCCGAGGTGGGTGGATCACCTGAGGTCAGGAGTTTGAGACCAGCCTGGCCAACATGGTGAAAACCCGTTTCTACTAAAAATACAAAAATTAGCCGGGTGTGATGGTACATGCCTGTAGTCCCAGCAACCTGGGAGACTCAGGTGGGAGAATCACTTGAACCCAGGAAGCAGAGGTTGCAGTGAGCCGAGATCACGTCACTGCACTCCAGCCTGGGTGACAGAGTGAGATTCCCTCTCAAAAGAAAAAAAAAAAAAAAAAAAGAAGAGGCTACATTACTTGGCTGTGCTAAAAGTATAGGACATACAGAGCATACCCAAATTTCAAAGTGTATATGCTAATGGATGTATTATAATGCTTACTTACCTCTTTCAGCAACCAGCTAATGTTTACACCTATACAATATGGGCAAAGTAAGACATGCTTTAAATAATTTTTCATTACAATCACAGCTGAGAACAGTAGAGAGAACATGTCTTATCCATTTCTTGCTTTGGAAGCTGGCATGAAATAGATTGTTTTGTCATATCTTTTTCCCCCAATAGTTTTATGAATTTATTTATCCAGCTTATAATAAGATTTTTTTTTCCTATACGGTTGACAGCTTTAGGTACCCTGTTTGTGTGTGTTTGCAGGTAGTATGACCACTTTTCCCTTCCACAAGTTCCTAATAGCTTCCAAGTATTTCTCCAGGATCTTAATTTCAGTATATAACAGTTGATTTTGTTTGTTCTGTATTTTACACATTTTCTTATGTTTATATGTTTATAATTAGGCACTTTTTTCCTTATCAACATACTCATCTTCCTCCTGCTTCTGTGTGTGTGTGTGTTTGTGTGTGTGTGTGTGTGTGTGTAAATAATGGAAGAAACCCATTGTGAGTGGAATTTATTTGCCAGGATTCCCATGGATGGATAGGGTTTGGCCCATAGGTGGATTTTAGTGGGACTAGGAACTCCTGAAACTATATGCAGAATTTTCTGACTATGTGTGTATATTTGTGTATATGAGTTCTTAACACAAGAAACCAGCTACTATTTCAATCTGCACAACAATAGGCACTTAGTGACATATTACATAATTTTTCATTTTAATCACAGCTGAGAACAATCGACAGAAGTTGCCTGTGGTCTGACATAGTTTATGAGCGTTTCCAGTGTTGTGCAGTTCTTTAGATGATCCAGTCTACAGAACATGCACAATGTACAGTTTACATTCTGCTTTTATTTCACAGCTGCCCTAATTATGGTCATTTTAGAGAAGAGTTCCCCATGCTATTGGTAAAGACAGAATTCGAAAGAGGGCATATAATAATATGCTCAGGAATAAAAGCAGAGGAAAAAAACCCAAAGATATTCTTAACATCTAAGAATGGAGTAAAAATGGAAGGAATAAATCAAATAAAAATGTTCACTACGCACCTGTAAAAACAAATGACATACTGTCTGTTACTGCTTTAAAGTATTTTAGCACAGTAAGAAAAAAAGAGCTAAGTAAAACAAATACAGCAAAATCTTGGTAATTGTTGATTCCAATTTATAGGTGAGGGTTAATTGTAATATTTTCTCTATTTTTGCATATGTTTGAAATTTTCCATAATAATTTTTAAAAATAACATACGTATTCTAATTGTTTAACTGCATATTCTCTGGTTAAACTGAAGCAGAACATGGACAATCTGCTCTTATAGGGGCACAATGGACATGTCGGGGGCAAGCAAGTCACAAGAAGGTGAGAAAACTAAATTTAACACACTGAGAAAAATATATTAAGAAGAAATGAAGCTGAAGAAATTTTAGCAGGACAAGAAGAGAAAAATGTTCAATTCAGTAATTAAAGCAAAGTAAAATAATTTTCAAAGATTTAAGAAAATGATAATACACAGACTGCTGCTGGGAATGTAAATTGCTATATGCTTACTGGGGAACAATTAAGTGACATGATTCTATATCCTTTGATCTGTTAATTCCATTATTAATTGTGTAACCTAAAGAAACAAAATGTGAGCACAGGTTTCTACATACATTTCTCATTGCATTACATTATTATTATTATTATTATTATTTTCCAGGACAGAATCTCACTCCGCTGCCCAGGCTGGAGTGCAATGGCGTGATCTTGGCTCACTGCAACCTCCACCTCCTGGGTTCAAGCAATTCCCCTGCCTCAGTCTCCCAAGTAGGTAGGATTACAGGTGTGCACCGCCAGACCCAGCTATTGGTTTTCTATTTTTAGTAGAGATGGGGTTTTGCCACGTTGGCCAGGCTGTTCTCAAACTCCTGACCTCAGGTGATCCGCCTGCCCTGGCCTCCCAAAGTGCTGGGATTACAGGCGGTACCGCACCGGGCTCATTGTATTACATTCTGAAAGCTCTTTGAGGGTAGGGGTTTTGTCTGCCCTATTGATTGTTATATTCCTAGAACAGTTCCTGGCAGGAAGTAAGTGCTGTAATGAATGTATGTTAAATAAACAGTGAGGAATTAGAAAAGACCAAAAGTCAAACAATAGGATAATTATTTGATACATTTTGGAATAGCAGAAATCCTAGTTACTCATTTAAACTAGTATTTTCAAAGAACATTAAATGACATGAGAAAAGTTCCAGATATAATGTTAAGTGGAAAAAATCAGGATGTAAAACCATATCCATATACAGGATGATCCTAATTAAATATGTTTAAACTAGCACAAGGAAATACATAAAAAACTTAAAAGCAGTTATCTCTAGATGATATACACTTCAGTGATTTTTAAATATTCTCCTTCAAATTCTTCTGTTTCCCAAATTATCTATAAGGACTCAAATCTTTTTTTAAAAAGGAATTTCTAGTTTTACATTCTATGGATAGATAAGTGTAGCATTACAAAAAGAGCCAAAATCTTCTTTGATCACTTCCAAACCAAGTTCCCACACTCTAGCTGCAGATCACCTTTTTTTACAAGTTTGGTGTCCTTCCTTGTAGATCACTTTTTATATTTTTCATACCCTTGCAGTATATGTACCTACAGAAAATACATGCATTTTAAAATATAAACAGCATCAAGCTGCATGCATAGTGACTTCTTAGTCTGTTCTGTGCTGCTATAATGGAACACTACAAACTGGGTAATTTATAATGAACAGAACTTTATTAGCTCACAGCTTTGGAGTCCAAGATCGAAGGGTTGCATCCGGTGAGGGTCTTGTTACTGCTTCATAACATGGTAGAAGGCATCACATGGGTGAGAGTAAGCAAGAGGGTGCCAAACTCACCCTTTTGACTCTGCCCTTACGAATGCAATCACAATGGCATGATTCCATTCATAAAGGCAGAGTCCTCATGGCCTAGTCATCTCTTAAATGTCCCACCTCTTAATACTGTTGCAACAGTGATTAGCTTTCCAGCACATGCATGCTTTTGGCCGGGGGACACTCAAACAGTCCATAGTTAACATCTACTATTTGTTTTCTGTTTTAACTCAATAATGTTTTTGAGATGTGCCCATTTTGAGACAAAGATACTGAATTCATCCCCTTAACTGCTACATAGTACAACATTTTATTTCGCCATTTCCCAATGGATAAGCAGGAAAGGGCCTGGGGACTCTTTCTTTGAATCTTTTGAAGGACAGCGCTGAGGAGACTACATCTCACTCTGCTGCTGGTTGGAAGAAAGAAATATTCTCACAGGATAGGGTGTGTGGCATTTCTGGAAAGAAGAAAGCAAGTTCAGTCCCTGATACCTGCAGAACAGAGACCAAGGAAGCTGGTCCAGGCATGGACAGGGACATCCGGTATACAATCTGAGCCATAACCAAGTCATGACAAGTGTCTTCTCATTCTCTTCACACCAAGTTCTGGTTTTCAAAGTATCTCTGAAACTGATCTCTTTCTCTTTCCTCTGTCATCATCCTAACTTAGAAACTCATCACTTCACCACTAAATTAGCTTCTTGGCCTCTATCCAGTTTCTCTTCCTTCTAATCCATCCAATTTACCACTTCCAAATGAGGCTTTCAAGAACTCCACATGGTCATCTTTCTCTGTTAAAACCTTCAAACGTGCTCTGTTGGGTCCTACTCATGGTTCCTTTTTGGCCTTCCATGGCCCCTAACTTTTTTTTTTTTTTTTTTTTTTTTGAGACAGTTTTACTCTGTTGCCCAGACTGGAGTGCAGTGGCACAATCTTGCAATCTCTGCCTCCTGGATGTCGGGGTCCGGCACGTCTGCCGGGGGACTACCGACCGGCGGGAGTCCCCGAGACCGCCAACGTAGATGTCTCGTTCAACCTGAGAGAGAGAGTGCGCGGAAAAGAAAGAACATAGAAAAGTAGAGTCTGGAGGGCTGCGTGAAGATTATGGCCAAAACACAGCAAATTTATTTTTGTGGGTTACAGCTTTTATACCTTTTGTCTTGTTTACATTTACCTCATCTCAGCAGAAAGAAACAAAGGGGAAAACAGAAAGGAAACAAACTCCATAAAATAGATATCCGGGGCTTGTGATATCCTGCTCAGGAAGCAGTTTAAGGGGGCTAGTGGTAGTAGTTTACATTTCAATGATTTTACATTCCAAAGATACAGTGGCGCCCTTAAGGTGGCTGGTTAAACCTGTTTTGCATCAGGAGCTAAAACAAAGGCTTGGGTCCAGAGAAAATATGGGCAGAGGTCTCTGCTCCTCTTAGACATTGCAATTGCAGCAAGTTTATTGCTTACACAGAGACTGAAGGGGGACATGGAAGCAGACAGCACAATGTCCTCATAAACCGCAGGCCTTTGCTTTGCATTCTGTTGTTGCTTTTAGTGAGTCAGCTTACGGCCCTGTCTCACTCGACAGCCCTCGAGGTGAGGAAATGCAGTACAGGTCCAGCAGCCAAACTGGGACGAGTCAACTGTCTCGAGCCTTTGGCGCGAACACCACACCTGGGCTCAAGCCATTCTTCTACCTCAGACTCTAGAGCAGCTGGGATTACAGGCACATGTGGAGCAGCTGGGATTACAGGCACATACCACCACACCCAGCTATTTTTTGTATTTTTAGTAGAGATGGGGTTTCACCATGTTGGCCAGGCTGGTCTTGAACTCCTGATCTCAAGTGATCCACCCGCCTTGGCCTACCAAAGTGCTGGGATTACAGGTGTGAGCCACTGCACCTGGCCCATGGCCCCTAACTTAAAAGTTTAGCCTTCTAGTCATTTATCAAATTCTCTGTCCTTCAAGTCCTACTTCCTCGGGGATTCTTCTCTAGAATTTTGCGATCACCCACATATTCAAACATTCAACCAAGATTTATTGAGTGCTACCAAACACCAGGCACCATGCAAAAGCCTGAGGCTCTGGCATGCACCTGTAAATAGCAATGCACCAAAGGCTGTAGCTTTGAACTATGATTTTCTTTAAATTTATCAGGGCATGCTTTGCTAAATTTCTCATGGTTAAAACCAACAGTGACTTCTGGGTATTTGAAAAGTTTCAAAGTAATCCAAGAAAGCATTACACAGCTATAGGTTTTATTTATTATTATGTAGAGTTGATGTGAATGTAGAAATACTATGAGTTTTCAGTTTGTTTTTAATAATTTACAAAATGGGACCTGGTGGTCTCTAAAATCACTTTCAGCTCTAATGGTCTAGAATGCAGGATACTTGCAACAGAACCACTAGATGTCGCTACTAACAACACAAAATTAAAGCAAGGGCTTGAGATCCCAGGATTACCATAAAGAAATAAAAATGTGAAAACGCTTCTATAGAGAAGCCCTATCAAAATCCTGAGGAGTAGCTTCAGACACCTTTGTGCACGTGAAATGCCACAGACACAATAATTGTTAAGTACTTCCTATACTCTTTTATTAATAGTATAGTTGTTAAGTACTTCCTATACTCTTTTATTAATAGAATAGCCTTCAACAACTTACTGGTCAGCAGCATAAGGAAAAAAAAGAAAATGTGGCACATAAACACCATGGAATACTATACAGCCATAAAAAACTATGAGTTTCTGTCTTTCATAGGGACATGGATATATCTGGAAACCATCATTCTCAGCAAACTGACACAAGAACAGAAAACCAAACACCGAATGTTATCACTCATAGGCAGGTGTTGAACAATTAGAGCACATGGACACAGGGAGGGGAGCATCACACACACTGTGGTCAGTTATGGGGAGCTAGGGGAGGGACAGTGGGGGTTGGGAAGGGTGGGGAGGGATAATGAGGGGAGAAATACCGGATATAGGTGATGGGGGATGAAGGCAGCAAACCACCTTGCCATGTATGTACCTATGCAACAATCCTGCATGATCTGCACATGTACCCCAGAACCTAAAGTACAATAATAAAAAAAAAGAATAGGAAGAAAGCTTATTTGTCCACCAGTTTTCAGATTTCTATTTTCTGGTGCTAGACACTCTATTTCACAACTTAGTGCACATGTGCACACACACAGAAATACTGATTTCGTATGTGTGTGTGTGAGTGTGTGTATTGGCAAAACCAAAGTTTCACAAAACAATAATACCCTTACTATGTGTAATGCTCTTTGACATTTTCTTTTTTATATATTCTATTTCATTTAAAAAAAACAAACAAACAAACAACTGGCTGGCCATGGTGGCTCACGCCTGTGTAATCCCAGTACTTTGGGAGGCTGAGATAGGATCTCATGAGTCTAGGAGTTCAAGTACAGTCTGGGCAACATAGTGAGACCTCATCTCTACAAAAAATAAAATTAAACAGGTGTGCTGGCATGCTACTGTAGTCCTAGCTACTCCGGAGGTTGAGATGAGAGGATTTCTTGAGCCCAGGAGGTCAAGGCTGGAGTGAGTCAAGATCAAGCCATTGCACTCCATCCTGGGCAACAGAGTGAGACTTTATCTCAAGAAAAAAAAAACTTGTTACAAAACAATAAATTGATTTTATTGAATCAAATACACTTCCTTATGTTAATATATCAGAAAACAGAGGCTCAGAGAGATGCAGTGACTTGCCCCAGGTAACTCAGCAGCCAGGATTCATGGCTCTTCAGAACACTGGCAGGTTTTGTCTTAGAAGGCCGCAGGTAAAAATTGAAAAGTGTCTTTGGCACAGTCTCAGCCCCTGCCATGCTCCTCAACCTTCTAAATCCTGTGGCTAAGACACTGCAGTAAAAACAAAATGAAACCACACCTCAGAAAGTATATGGATGAATAATTATATGCAGCAGCCATTTAAAAAATACAGGTTCTTCCTTAAATGCAAACGTGATCATTTTAATTTTCTATTTGAATCCCAGCAGTGGCTGTTTGTGGTTTTCAGGCCAAATACAAATTCTCAGTGAGACAGTAAAGGCTCTTCCCAAGCTGGCCCCAGTCCTGCTAGCCAGCTTGATTCTTCACCACTTCCCCACAAGCACCTTCAAGATTCTTCCTTCACTCTTGAACTGGCTAAGTCATAAGGTTTTCGAGACTCCACTCACATTCCTCTTCTGCAAAGCCTTCCTTGGCATGCACTTGCCCAAGCATGCAGCCTACTGTTCCTGAAGCTTCCTCTTGTGTGTCCTCTCCACTGGACTGGGGCATTCTTATATCTTCCCATTTGCTATCTGTAGCACCGGGCCTAGGATTCAGTATGTAAGAGGAAATCTGCTGGAGTGAGTATTTTCATATTCTCACTCTCAAATTTTAATCCTAAAAAACTCACTGGAATATCTCCAAATTATCTAAGAGCTGGTTTTGACACTGCAGAGCTCTATTTCCTAATATTTGGGGAGTATGAATAAAAAGCACTATATACCTACCATAGGAGAAATGCATGCAAAAAGCCAGTTCTGGCCTTTTTTTTTTTCTTGATTTTAATAAGCATTTGTTGGGAGGGAAGGTGAAATTTTTTTAAATTATACTTTAAGTTCTGGGGTACATGTGCAGATCTTGCAGGATTGTTACATAGGTATACACATGTCATGGTGGTTTGCTGCTTCCAACCCCGCTTCACCTACATTAGGTGTTTCTCCTAATGTTACCCCTCCCCAACCTCCCCACCTCCTGCTATCACTCTCCTAGCCTCCCAGCCCACAACAGACTCCAGTGTGTGATGTTCTCCTCACTGTGTCCATGTGTTCTCATTGTTCTATATCCACTTATGAGTGAGAATATGCAGTGTCTGGTTTTCTGTTTTTGTGTCAGTTTGGGGAGAATGATGGTTTTCAGCTTCACTCAGGTCCCTTCAAAGGACATAAACTCATCCTTTTTTATGGCTGCGTAGTATTCCATGGTGTGTATGTGCCATATTTTCTTTATCCAGTCTATCCTTGATGGGCATTTGGGTTGGTTCCACGTCTTTGCTATTGTAAACAGTGCAGCAGTGAACATATCTTTGCATGTGTCTTTATAATAGAACGATTTATAATCCTTTGGGTATACACCCAGTAATAGGATTACTGGGTCTAATGGTATTTCTATTTCTAGATCCTTGAGGAATTGCCACAGTGTATTCCACAATGGTTTAACTAATTTACACTCCCACCAACAGTGTAAAAGCATTCCCATTTCTCCACATCCTCTCCAGATTTTTTAATGATCACCATTCTAATTGGCATGAGATGGTATGTCAATGTGGTTTTGATTTGCATTTCTCTAATGACCAGTGATGATGAACATTTTTTCATATGTTTGTTGGCCACATAAATGACTTCTTTTGAAAGATGCCTGTTCATATCCTTTACCCACTTTTTGATGGGTTTTTTTTTTTTTGTAAATTTGTTTTAGTTCTTTGTAGATTCTGGATATTAGCCCTTTGTCAGATGGGTAGCTTGTAAAAATTTTTTCCTATTCTGTGGCTTGCTTGTTTACTCTAATGATTGTTTCTCTTGCTGTGCAGAAGCTCTGGAGTTTAATTAGATCCCATTTGTCTATTTTGGCTTTTGTTGCCAATGCTTTCAGTGTTTTAGTCATGAAGTCCTTGCCTGTGTCTATGTCCTGAATGGTATTGTCTATGTTTTCTTCTAGGGTTTTTGTGGTGTTAGGTCTTATGTTTAAATCTTTAATCCATCTAAAGTTAATTTTTGTTATAAGGTGTAAGGAATGGGTCCAGTTTCAGCTTTCTGTACACGGCTAGCCAGTTTTCCCAATAACATTTATTAAGCAGGGAATTCTTTCCCCATTGTTTGTTTTTGTCAGGTTTGTAAATATCAGATGGTTTTAGGTGTATGGTGTTACTTCTGAGGTCTCTGTTCTGTTCCATTGGTCTATGTCTCTGTTTTGGTACTAGTACCATGCTGTTTTGATTACTGTAGCCTTATAATATAATTTGAAATCAGGTAGCGTGATGCCTCCAGCTTTGTTCTTTTTGCTTAGGATTTTCTTGGCTATATGGGCTCTTTTTTTTGCTCCATATGAAGTTTAAGGTGTTTTTTTCCAGTTCTGTGAAGAAGGTCAATGGTAGCTTGATGGGGAGAGCACTGAATCTATAAATTACTTTGTGCAGTATGGCCATTTTCACGATATTGATTCTTCCTAACCATGAGCATGGAATGTTTTTCCATCTGTTTGTGTCCTCTCTTATTTCCTTGAGCAGTGGTTTGTAGTTTTCCTTAAAGAGGTCCTTCACATCCTTTGTTAGTTGTGTTCCTAGGTATTTTATTCTCTTGCAGCAATTGGGAATGGGAGTTTGCTCATGATTTAGCTCTCTGTTTGTCTGTTATTGGTATATAGGAATTCCTGTGATTTCTGTACATTGATTTTGTATCCTGAGACTTTGCTGAAGTTGTTTATCATCTTAAGGAGATTTTGGGCTGAGAATATGGGATTTTCTAAATATACTCTCATGTCATCTGTAAAAATTTTGTTTTTTTAACCTAGCTTGTAGGCTAGTATCTGCTGAGCAACACAGCCTCTGCTCCCTCCACTGGTCACTCAAAGAGTTCCCACCTCTCCAATTCCCAACACAAGAGGCTTTCCACTTTGGTGGCGCACATAGACAATCTTCTGTGTATGCTGAAACAGAGCAAATCAAGAACAGTGGCCGTCACCTGAAATGACTTAATACTTATCATTAAGTTGGGGAGCAATCAGAGTGGAAGAGAGGCAGCTAAAAGCTCATAGTGACTAAGGACAGTGAGTAATGAAGGGAGCACTGATTGAAGGCTGTGGTGGTCAGAGATGGCTTTGTGAGAGTGAATCGCCAATACCAGGGTGGGAATCAGGTAGACCTGTGGGAAAGGAAGAACTTCCAGGTGGGCACCAGCATAAGCAACAGTCAGCTAAGGGTGTGAAGACGACTCCCCAGATCAGAGAGTGCTTGGCCCTGGGAGGGCTCAGGCATGTAATGAGGTGGGGAGGAGCAGGCATGCCAGTGTCCCTGAAGGAGCAGGTCATTATCCACTGTCACCCCTCACTCCATGCCTTGCTGCCTTGGTTATAAAGCACATTCAGTTTTATGCATCATTTTGATCTTCTCCATGCCCTTGTCAGGTAAGTGGCATAGATACTATGGGCTTTATTTTACAGAAATAGTTTAAAAAGTCGATAAGAAAATTGGCCCAAGTCACACAACTAGCAGCTAACCAGCCTCACAGTTTAGATCTCTGGACTTCTATTTCACAGACCCAAAAATTCACGGTTGTCACAAAAGACACATAGCTGTATTTCCCCATTTTACAAATAAAGAAACTGAGGACCACAGAGGTGAAGCAATTTTTCCAAGGTCACACAGAAGCAGAATTTGGGAGGTTAGCTGGAAGCAGCTTTACTCAGCCTTATTTCTGATTGAAGATATGTATAATATGAGGAACAGGGAGAAAAATTCCTCAGACTGCCGATAAAGAACGGTTACTTCAACAAAACCAAGTTATCTTCTAATGTTTAATAACTGTCAGGATAACCTTCTGTTAGCATAACTGCATTTTTAAAAATGGAAATTGTTATCAACCAAAAATTAGAAGTTTTTTAAGTGAAAAAAATTCTAGAAAGAAATCAAGCTGCCTGAGGAGACAGATCTATCTGGGGAGAAAGGCCTCCCCAGTCTACAGGAGCTCCTCAGAACTTTTTTCTGCCACAAATGTCTTTTTAGGTCTTTGTTAATCAGAGAAAAAGTTTTATTTTTAACTTTTTTAAAAAAAATAAACATTGGCTCCAAACTGATAGACTCTCATCTCAGAATCCGTTAGCAAAGGATAACTAATATTTGCAGACAAGAACACTATTCAGAGACATATTATTATAATTTTTTACACTAGAAATGACATGGCTTGAGAAATGACTTGCTGAGAAATCTGTGTTTACATTAGGGAGAGTCGGGGGGAAATCCCTCAAAGAAGTTGAAAACACGTTAAGTGGTAAATACCAAAATGCCCAGCAAGCATTTAAGCTGGCTCTCATCCTAGCATGAATATGTGCAACTCAGCATTTTAAAATTTGCTTTTAGCTTTTCTAGCAGTTTGAATTAACCCTTTCTATACTTCCACTTTTTCTGTGAGAGTTCAGCTCTTAATCTGCAGATATGGACTGTGGGTGCTGTCATGGTGCTTGGTGGCCCCCTGGCAAATGATGTCCTCACCTGAACTGGTTTCCTACAAGTGGGCTGCCTCATGGACGTGTCTCCTAAGCTTCCTTACTATCCATGTAAGGCCTAGACAAACATTAGGAACCAAGTCCAGTTTGAATGGATTGGAAGAGACCTGTCAGAGCAAAACAATACAAATCAATGCTACAATAAAGGTATATCCAGACCAAAGGTTCTCCAGAGCAGAATCACCCCAGAGAAACTGTCAAGTGGCCCCAGCATTTGTAGCTGTAAATGATCCTCAGGTGATTTTAAGTATATCCCTCATTCAAAGACACTAATCTAGATTATCTAAAAAGCCAGTGATAATTGGCTCCTAGCAAATGAAAACAACAACAACAAAAAAAAACACAAGCCACCAAAACAAAACATTTTTCCAGACTAGGTTTATCTTAATACCTAACTGGCTATAAAACTTATTTACAGCCTGAGTGAATACCAATTATATACAAGAAAGGTAAGGATTTAATGAATATTTGTATAATACTTTGCAATATCTTATCATGCATTAATGATCTCATATGGTTCTCACAGCAACCCTATGAGGTAGCTTGTTATTTTCAAATTAAAGATGAAGAAAATAAGTCTCAGGGACATGAAGATTTGCTCAAGAGCCCTCAAAGAGTACAGCAGAGCAACTATGGGGTTGACAAGTAGAGGGATAGAATGACCATTGTTTTATTACTATAGGTCAAAAAGAAATTTTAATGTTTGAATATTTCCTATAGCTTTTTAGAAAACTTCTAATTACTGTGCCACACCTTGCTGGTAAAACATCTTATCACACCATAAAACACTGTGTTTTTTTCTTTCTTCTACTTCTATCTGTCTACACGAACATCCACACATATACATACACACTCTCTCTCTCTCTCTCACAGTAAAACAGAAATAATCTATTGTTCCTGAGTTTGATTGTGGGAGAATCATTTAAGATACGTCATGTTTATAACACCAGTTTCAGAAACATGTAAATCTAGTAATTTAATTTTTGTATATCTTACATTAAAATGAACACACAAATACAGTTCTCCCTCAATCTCCATATCAGACAAATGGAAGTAAACTACTTGGCCTAGAAAAGAATAACCTGCAAGTGAAATGTTGGCACTCCTAGTATTAGTAAGTTAGACTCATTGTTTGCTATTTATAGTAATTTGTGTCTTTTTTTTTTTTTTTTTTTTCTGAGACAGGGTCTGGCTCTGTCACCCAGGCTGGAGTGCAGCGGCACAATCTCGGCTTACTGCAAACTCTGCCTCCTGGGCTCAAGCCAACCACCCACCTCAGCCTCCTGAGTAGCTGGGCCTATAGACACTTATCACTATATTAGGGAAAGTTTTGTATTTTTGTACAGACAGGGTTTGAACAAAATCTTTTGCCCAAGCTGGTCTCAAACTCCCAGGCTCAAGTGATGCTCCCACTTTGGCCTCTCAAAGTGCTTGGAATACAGGTGTGAGCTACCATGCCTGTCCATGATTTACATCTTTGAAGTGTTTCTTCTAAACATTCAGTCTATCAAATATCAGTTGCCACAGACATTTGCATCCAAAGGAAAAATAAGCCATGTTGCATCTTGGTAAGATGAAATATTCCACGGTATTGGTCCTATTAAAGCCAGGACTGGCCAGGTAAACTCTTGGTGCTGTTTGCGCCACAATTTCTAAGCTCAATAGAAGTATCTGAAGAATATAAAACAAAAGCCAACAGAATAAAAGAAGATTCACTGAGCAGTACAGACTTATTTAAGAATATCAGTACTAAAAGAAAACCATCCACTCTTGTCATTGAATGCATGCTACTTACAGCAAAGTAAAATATTTCTGGATTGATGGACCCCAAACTTTTTGCCACCAGAGACCGGTTTCAGGGAAAACCATTTTCCCACAGACTGAGTGGAAGATGGTTTCAGGATGAAACTGTTCCCCTCAGATCATCAAGCATTGGTTAGAGTCTCATAGAAGCATGCAACCTAGATCCCTCACATGTGCAGTTCACAATAGAGTTCACACTCCTATGAGGACCCAATACTGCAGCTGAGGTGAGAGGAGGCAGAGCTCAGGTGGTAATGCTGGCTTGCTTGCTCACCAGACGATGGTCACCTCCTGCTGTAAGGCCTGATTGTGGACCTTGGCTGGAAGATTGGGGATCCTTGTCCTAAGTAACTTGGTAGGGGACTAATTGGAAAAATAAAAAATAAAAGTCAGTGTGTGCACACTAATGACAAAAGCAAATTTAATATTTAGTGGGATGAGTCTAAATTCAATGGAGACACTGATCTTTGTAACAGCAAAACATTAAATCCAGGCTTTTCTTTTACCTTGTTAATCGACATTTCGTTCATCGTGAGAGGTTGCTTTGGCATAACTCAGAGGTAGATTCAGCCCAACAACCGGCCCTACAATGCTCAGCCATGACGTGATATAGTTGACATTCCTAGGAAATAAATGAAATACAGGCCATGCTAATGTTTCCATTGCAGTTTTGGATGAATGGTAGAATATCATTCGGTCACTAACCGAAATGAGGCATTCTTCAAAGATGTATACCTACCACCTGGAATCTCAGCATTTCTGAATGCCAGCCCCATTGCTTGACAAGAATTTAAGGTCCAGAGAGCCTGCAAGGATCCCTCATTAGGGTGACTGAAGGATGAGGTAAGGCACTGGGGCTCCTGATTCCCCTTGATTCAAATTTTACCCTTAACAGTTTACAGCACTTACTAAGGTAGTAGAGTGCAGTGATTAAGAGCATGATTCTGAGGCCAAAATGCTCAGACTGAAATCCCACCAGTTAACTAGCAGTGTGACCTTGTTTGAGTTACTTAACTCCTCCATTCCATCACTTTCTCCTCTGTAAACTGGGTAAAAAAAAAATGGTACTTAGCACATAAGAATGCTGCAAAAATTCAGTCCTTTACTATATCTAAAACTCTTAGAACAGCACCTAGCATATCATAAAAATCAATGTGTTAGCCATTATTATTATTATTATTATTATGATTACAAAGAATATTTCTTTTTTTAGCCTAGTTTTTAGAGTCACATAAAAAGAGTTACAGTTTTAAAATCAGAGTAGAAGCCAATGTATCTTGAGGGTATTTCTTACTTATTGATTTTCTGAGAATTCTTTAATACAGGAGTCATGAATTCATTCGTCTTGCAGGGATGAAGTACAAAAAAGGGTTGCCCAAGTATTGGATGTTCCTGTAAGAATCAGAGTTGGTCCAGGGTCAGTGTGAGTTACTTTGAAAAGGTTATCTGGTTTACTCCTTTAAAAAAAAAGGTTTGTCTTAAATTCCAAGTTATTGAATTAATATACAGGCTTATTTTGTATTTTCAATTATAATTTATAATCCAAACATCAGAAAAAGTTGGTGAGAAGGGGCTACTCACTGATGAAGCATTATGGTTGAGTATAGCAGGGCACCCAGCTTTGTTTACACAATACAAACTATAGTTGCATTTTTTTTTTTTTTTTAAGACAGAGTTTCCCTCTTGTTACCCAGGCTGGAGCACAATGGCACGATCTCGGCTCCCTGCTACCTCCGCCTCCTGAGTTCAGGCAATTCTCTTGCCTCGGCCTGCTAAGTAGCTGGGATTACAGGCACACGCCACCATGCCCAGCTAATTTTTTGTATTTTTAGTAGAGACGGGGTTTCACCATGTTGACTAGGATGGTCTCGATCTTGACCTCGTGATCCACCTGCCGCGGCCTCCCAAAGTGCTGGGATTACAGGCTTGAGCCACCGCTCCCGGCCTATAGTTGCATTTTATCAGTTCCCTCTCTCTGTTGGCTAGTGTTTCTCTTTGGCCTATCATTCTTCAGTTTTCCCTCAAGAATGTTCACAAAGCTCAGCACTTTGACAACCTAAACAGTTCATTTTATTCACCTCTTTGTCAGTGGTAAGAGAATCAAAATCACTTGCATATTTACACAAATTTTGTCAACATGTTGATTCAAGCCTACCTGTATCCCATGCCAGTGGGCACATGTTCCATGAGTGGAATGGCAGATGAAAGGCAACGGTTTGCACTATTTAAGCTGTTCTCTCTCTCTCTCTCTCTCTCTCTCTCTCTCTCTCTTTCATCTCTATCTCATAGTTTTTGTTTTTCTTTTTCCTCATTTCTCTCCTTCTGTTTCTCCCAAGCCTACAGGGCTGTTTCTATAAGTTAAAAGCCTAAAATCTAGCTCTGTTCCTTTTATATGGTAGTAATTGGCTATAAAATATAGCTCAGACTGCACCCACATCAGGGACACGGACATTATTTGCCAAGCAATGGGGAGCCCTAGAAGGTTTCCATTTAGTGGGTAATCTGCACAAGTTCTACCAACATGAACACTATTATTGATGATGCATTATTGATTATTTACATTGTGGATTAACCATTATGCTAGACATTGCAAGCTCAAATACCTATGAAGAAGAAGCAGGTGACCTAAGGGGATAATGCCAGCTAAATACACCAGCAGATGACAGGGCCCATGAGGAACTGCCGAGTGCACCCATCCGAGGCCATGCTGGCTACTCAGCTCTGGCCACTGTGTCATGTGGAAATGCAGGTTCAGCATGCCAGACCTTCTCATTTGTGAAACTAACCTAGAAAATCCAAAGTTGATGTTAAACCTACTACTTTTATGTGTTGGCACAATTTATTTTTAAACATGGAGCGGAACAAATAAAACAGGCTTATAGGCTGGATTTAGACTAGGGGATGCCTAGCTTCTTCTCTTGGCTTCTTCTCTTAGCCAACCCAAGGAGAAGTTGAACTCAGGGCTATTGATGGGAAGAATTATGTGGCTGTCCCTGCTGCCTCCACCCCTCAGCTATGAACATTTATGTGTGCATGCATATGCACACAAGTCATTCACAAGAACTGGGAAGGACAGTTCCACTTGTATTGGTGACACTGGGTATGGAGATTTGGGTTGGCGGTGGTAAGGGATGAGTTATCCACTAGTTATAGGTTATTGCATGTGTCTGGCCTTTTTAGTACCACCTGGCATTTTTTTTCTCCCTGAGTACCACCTCCAGGTAACTCTGACTAGTAGCCTGATTTTCCAGCAAGGCATCAGCTTCCTCTCTACAGTTTTCTTCCCAACCTTCATTGCCATCCCTAACCGGGCCCTGGGCTCAAAGCCCTGATGTGTTGTGCCTATGTCAAGTCCTCCTGTTCAAGTTGACTCTAGTTTCCCTTATCTGCCTTAAACTAACATTTAGTAATTCAATACATATTAATCAATCATCTTTTTTATGTGTCTGCCAGAATACTTCTAGGTATAGTTATAGAGACTACTGTATCTCTTAGATAAACAAAATTCCTGATGCACTAGAACTTACATTCCAGTACAGGAGACAGCCAATAAACACACAGAACAAATAAATAAGATAATCCAGATAATTATTCATCCTATGAAGGAAAAACAACAGGGTGACATGATTCTGGAGGGATTGTGATGACATTAGAGTTGGAAAGGGAAGGCCTCACAGAAGAGGTGATACAATGGACTGAATGTGTGTGTCCCTCTAAAATTCGTATGTTGAAATCCTAACCACCAAAGTGATGGTATTAAAAGTTGGGGCCCTTTGCAGGTGATTAGGTCATGAGCATGAACCCCTCATGAATGGGATTAGTGCCCTTATAAAAAAGACCCAGAGAGCTCTCTCACCTTTTTCCTATCATGTGGGGATACAGTGAGAAGATGGCATCTATGAAATAGACACTGGATCTTCCAGTGCCCTCATCCTGGATTCCGTAGCCTTCAGAACTGGGAGAAATAAATGTTGGTTGTTGAGTCACCCAGTCCATGGTATTTTTGTCATGGCAGCCTAAATAGACTAAGACAAGGTGCCACTTAATCAGAGATCAGAATGACAAGGAAAAAAAACACCCATGCAGAGGTTTAGGAACAGAATGTTGAGGCAGATGACCCTAAGGGGAAATGAACACAGGAAACATGCAGGAAAAATGCAAAAAAAAAAACCCAACCAAACTAAAAACAAAAACAGAATTATTCTGGACTAAAATAATGACTGTTTAGAAAGCTGGGATTTAAAAAGATAAAAGTAGTCTAAATTCTTTTGGGATGACTTACATAGTTACCTATGGAAGGAATAAAGAGCTACAATCCAATCTTATTGATGTAAAGACACATTATCTTCTCTAATAAAATGAAACCTAGATTTCCAAATTTCCACGGGACGGAAACACTTATAATCGAGAGAATCAGTTCAATCACACAGCCTCCACTCTCTCCAAGACCCGCTCTCCCTTAGGCATCTCTTATCTAAGAGGTAGATAGGCACTTACAGTTCAGGGAACTATTTTCTTGGAGGAGTCTTAGGACCACGGCACACTGCAGCTCTGCTCATTCAATGCTGCTTTGTAAAGACTTGGACTTTACTTATATAAGTCTTCTTCTTCTCATTCCACATAGCAAGTGGGTAAGCGCATGCATGAGCTCTGCAGTTAATACTGTTTGGGGTCAAGTCCTGTTCTACCACTTGGTAGCTGTGAGCTATTGGGAAAGTCACTTAACCATTTTATGTCTTTGTCTCCTCATCTGGTAACTGTGGCTAATGATACCATCTGCCTCAGAGACTTGACTCTGACCCTTAGATATGCTATTAGATAATACCATAGAAGTACACAGAACAGGACCTGATGCCTATTATTTAATCCACTGATATCTAAATAGAAAAGGATAACAGCCAGACATTCAGAAAGTAGTCTTATGGTACCCTATGTTAAAGCCCAATTTCAATCTAAAAATAGGAAGCTCCTGTAAATTAAGTAGCATATTAAAAGCATCACTGACCAGTACCTAAGTGTTTAGGAATATTTGACAACTGATTATAGGTGAAAGGAAGAAAGGTCTAAATTAGCAAAAAGTCTAGGTCTATAATGGCAACTAGAACTATCATGATATTTGATTCAGGTTTAAAATGAAATTAATGAAAAATAATTAAAATAAATTTAAATTAAAAGCTCAGGTACTTCAAAAACTCTTCTTCAGTAATCTCTAACATTATAATATTCATTTTTCCTCAAAGAACATAAAACAGTCATATTACCATTTAAGGTTATGTTCTAATAAAATAAAATGCACGGTGATGTTCATGTAAAACATTTTTAAAAATAATTAAAACTTTCATGCCTCTGAAGAGCTTTTAGAATAGCTTGAGCATTTCTTTAATGCAGGTTTGGCCGTCTTTAAAAAATTCTTTACCTTTACTATACTGAGCCCTTATATTAAAATTAAATAGAATATATTAAAATGAATGACTGTCTTTAAAATTATAAGTTTAAATGTATTAATAAATTGGATTTTAAGATAAAAATTATATTGTTTTTACAAAATGCTTTTGGTTTAAAGCCTATGATATGCTGATCAGCTTAAAATAGGAATTATAAGATATACTTATGTAATCTTTTAGAAGAATTCTATAAATTAATAACAATAGCAGTGGACTTCCAGCTGTGACAGCATAAAGAGGTCAGGAAATCCTCTCCCCAGAAAATAAGTATAAATATGAACAAAATTGTTAAAAATAAACCATTTTTGGGTCCTGGAAATCGCCAAGGGCAAATATAAAATCTGAGAAGTGTTTAGTTCATGATAATCTGCTAAACTTCAAGTAAGAAACAGAGGGGATCTGAAGCCTTCTTGCCTGGAAGTACTTCTGATGATCCCCTCCATCAACAGAAGTTTTACCAGAGCAGTCTGGCCATAAGAACCAATAACTGTGTGGCCAGAGGGGCCGGCCTGATTTCCAACAGATAGCTAAAACTATTGCTCAGCAGCACTGTCAACAAAAACAGCAAAACAGGTACTAAATGAAAAGGAAAAACTGCAGCTCTGCTGGTCAGAGGTTGCAATCCCAGTTGAGGCAAGCAGCAAACTACCAGTAATTTAATGGGGAGAATCTGGAAATAAGACAGTCAGAAAAGGAGTAGATAAGTTCTCCAGGCACCACTGGCTGATGGAAAGGGGATGTTCAGGGGAGACAAGAGAAGGCCTGATGGGAAGTAAGAGCCAAGACCAACATGAATTCTACTTGAATTTTTAGTGTGTTTCTAATTCATGTACACATCCATTGGCAAAAGGAAAAGGCATTACAGGCTTGAGGTATTTAAGCACAATCATTTCTGTCCAATCATTGGCCAACCTGCAAGCTTTACAGACATAGCTGGATGGATAACCC